CAATCCAGTCCAGTCCAGTCCAGTCCAGTCCAGTCCAGTCCAGTCCAGTCGTATCCAGTCCTGTCCAATCCAGTCCTCTCCAGTCCCGTCCGAATTAGTCCCGTCAAGTACAGTCCAGTCAACCCCAGTCCATTCCAGTCCAGTCCAGTCCAGTACGGATTAGTTAAGATCTGTCCACTCCAGTCCAGTTTATTCTGGTATATGTCAGTCAAGTTCAGCATAGTCCTGTCCAGTCCAGTCCATTCTAGACCAGTCCGATCCGCCCCTGACAGTCCATTGCAGTTCAGTCCAGTTTAGTCCAGTCCATTGCCGTCCAGTCCATTCCAGTATAGTCCAGTCCGGTACAATCCAGTTCATTGCAATCCAGACCAGTCCAGTACAGTACAGTCGAATCCCGTCCAATCCAGTCCAGTCCAGTCTTGTCCCGTCCAGTCCAGTCGAGTCCTGTCCGGTCCAGTCCAGTCCAGTCCAGTCCATTCTATTCAAGTCCAGTCCAGTCCAGTCCAGTACATTCCAGTCCTCTCCACACCTGTCCAGTCTAGTCCAGTCCAATCCCGAACAGTCCAGTCCAGTCCAGTCCATTTCAGTGTGGTCCATTCCAGTCCGGTCCAGTTAAGTCCAGTCCAGTCCATTCCAGTCCAGTCCAGTCCCGTCTAATCCACTCCAATGGAGTCCGGTCCTGTCCGGTCCAGTCCAGTCCAATCCATTCCAGACCAGTCCAGTGCGCTCCTGTCCCATCCAATCCAGTCCACTCCAGTTTAGTTCAGTCCAGTCCCGGCCTGTCCAGTCCAGTTTAGTCCAGTCCGGTCCAATCCAGTTCAGTGCAGTCCAGTCCAGTCCAGTCCAGTCCAGTCCAGTCCAGTCCAGTCCAGTCCAGTCCCGTCCATTCCATACTTGTTTAGTTCAGTCCACTCCAGTCCATTTTTGTCCGGTCCATTTTAGTCCAGATCAGCCAAGTCGAGCGCAGTCCAATCCAGTTCCGTCCAGTCCAGTCCAGTGCAATCCAATCCAATCCTGTCCAGTCCAGCCTAGTTTAGTTCAGTTCACCCAGTCCAGGTTAGTCCGGTCCATGTCAGTCAAGTTCAGCATTTTCCAGTCCAGTCCAGTCCTGTCCAGTCCAGTAATCCAGTCCAGTCCAGTGCAGTCAAGTCCAGTCCAGTTCAGTCCAGTCGAGTCGAGTCCAGTCCAGTCCAGTTCTTTCCAGCCCAGTCCATTCCACTTTAGTCCAGTCCAGTCCAATCCAGTTTACTCCAGCCTCGTCCGGTCCAGTCCAGTCAAGTGCTTTTCAGTCCTGTGCCGTCCAGTCCAATCCAGTCCAGTCCATTCCTGTCCAGTCGAGTGCAGTCCAGTCCAGTCCAGTCCAGTNTTTGTGCAGTCCAGGCCGGTCCACTCCAGTCCTCTCCAATACAATCGCGTCCAGTCCCGTCCAGTTTAGTCCAGTCAATTCCAGTCCAGTCCAGTGCAATCCAGTCCAGTCCAGTCCAGTCCTGTCTAGTTATGATCAGTGCACTCCAGTCCAGTTTAGTCCGGTCCATGTCAGTCAAGTTGAGCATAGTCCAGTCCGGTCCAGTCCAGTCTAGTCTAGTTTAGTACAGTCCAGTCCAGTCCAGTCCAGTCCATTCCAGTCCAGTCGAATGCAGTCCATTCCAGTCTAGTTTAGTCCAGTTTAAATTATTCCAGTCCAGTCCAATCCAGTCCATTCCATTCTTTTCCAGTCGAGTGCAGTGCAGTCCACTCCAGTCCAGTCCACTCCAGTCCAATCCAGTTCATTCCAGTGCAGTCCAGTCCACTTTTGTGCAGTCCAGTCCAGTCCAATCCAGTCTTGTCCAATACAGTCGCCTCCAGTCCCGTACAGGTTAGTCCAGTCAATTCCAGTCCAGTCCAGTGTAATATAGTCCAGTCCAGTCCAGTACAGTCTAGTTTAGTACATACAAGTACAGTTCAGTCCAGTCCAGACCAGTCCATTCTAGTCCCGTCCAGTTTAGTCCAGTCCAGTGCATTCCAGTCCAGTCCAGTCCCGTCTAATCCATTCGAGTGCAGTCCGTTCTTGTCCAGTCCAGTCCAGTCCAATTCATTCTGGACCAGTCCAGTCCGCTCCTGTTTCGTCCAATCCAGTCCAGTCCAGTTTATTCCAGTTCAGTCCAGTCCAGTCCAGTCCAGTCCAGTTTAGTCCAGTCCGGTCCTTTCCAGTTCAGTCCAGTCCAGTCCAGTCCGGTCCAGTCAGGCCCGTCCAATCCAGTCCTGTCCAGTCCAGTCCAGTCCCATCCATTCCAGTCCAGTCGAGTCCAGTGCAATCCAATCCAATCCTGTCCAGTCCAGTTCAGTATAGTTCATTCCACCCAGTCCAGTTTAGTCCGGTGCATGTCAGTCAAGTTCAGCATATTCCAGTCCAGTCCAGTCCAGCCCAGTCCAGTTATGTCCTGTCCAGTTCAGTGCATTCCAGTCCAGTACTTTGCAGTTCAGTCCAGTTATAGTATTTGGAATAGTATTTAAAATGGGATTCAAGAATTGGCGCAAAACCAATCCCCGAAATAGAGCAATTTCGAATGGAATAGCACTTGAACTTTATTC